CTCTATTTATATATCTGTATTGAATAAAATGATGAGTGACTTTGCCGGGGAGAGAGTGCCCCAGTCAGAGCACTTTCCCCATGTGCAGCTGACCAGGTTTCGATCTCCAGCACCCCATATGATCCCCTGGGCACTGCCAAGAGTAATTTCTGTAAAAAAAGAGCTATCTCTTTGGTAGGTCCCAAAAGAAGCTTCTATTTTTTTTTCTTTTTGGGTCACACCCAGCTATGCATAGGGGTTACTCCTGGCTCATGCACTCAGGAATTACTCCTGGCAGTGCTCGGGGGACCATATGGGATGCTGGGAATCAAACCCAGGTTGTCCGCATGCAAGGCACATGCCCTACCTGCTGTGCTAATGCTCCAGCCCCCAAAAGAAGCATTTTTGTTATTGATAATAAGCCCTTTTACATTTTCCAGTCTTTTGGTAGTGACCTTTTCCCTGCCTCCCTCCCTTCTTTTTTTTTTTTTTTTTTTTTTTTGGAGGGGAGAGGAGGAGGCTCTCACCTGGTGATACTTAGGGTTTACTTTTTGTTTTGTGTTTGCTTTTTCATTTTTGAGTCACATCAGGCAATGCCTGAGGGTCACTCTTGGCTCTGCACTCAGGAATTACTCCTGGTGGTGCTCTGGGGTGACCATATCGAGTGCTGGGGATCAAACCCCAGTTGGTTGCCCCTTAGGGCTTACTTTTGGCTCTGTGCTAGAGATCATTTTTGGTGGGGCTTGGGGCACTATATGAAATGCCAGGGATTGAACCTGGGTTGGCTGCATACGAGGCAAATACCCTACTATCACTGGTTTCTTTTTTTTGTTTTGTGTTTTGGGTCACACCCCTGCATTGCTTATAGATCACTGCTGGAGGGACTCAGATGACTATATTGGGTGTTAGGACCGAACCCATGTCATCTGTCTGCCCACTATACTATCTCTCCAGTCCCACGCTATTTTTGAGGAAATACTTTCTAAATTCCCAAATCTGAGTAAGCATAGATTGTTGTTTGCCTTTCCAGATAAAAATTATGTTCCAGGGTCACAGAGATAGTATAGTGGGCCAGGTGCTTGCCTTGTCAATCCCTGGTACCCCCATATAGTCCCTGAGCACTGCCTGGTATGGGCCCTAAACCAAAAAAATCAGAAAGTGGCTAGTTCAGCCATTAACTCAAACAATTTCAAGTTAGCAGTTCTTCAGTGCGCAACAGAAATAATTTTTTGCATGCTTGCTGTATTGTGACAGTAGTAAATTTTTTATCAGAGGGTTAATAAATAACGTTGCTGCTTCATCAAGCACTTTCTTTAATGAAATCTCTCCTACATTCCCATAACCCTCCACATGTACTGTGCCTCCTAGAATAGTAACTGCTAAGTCCCCGGTAATTTTACACCACTGCTCTGCACTGTCAGTGAAAATGTCAGCACAGTTGGATAAGCTGTGAGTTTCAGAAATGAATTTGACACTTTGAAGATACAATACAATGTTTCTTGTCATTGAAAGATCTTAAATGATCTGTGATACTGATGCCAAGTAAATACTAACCAAACTATAAGACCATCCTTGTTCACAGATCCATTCTTGGGTAAGATTCTACAAAAGTAGAATTTTTCCTAAGAGGTAGTAACGTGTTCTTTTTGAGGTGTCAGCCTGGATTCAGTTGGTTGAGCCAAGCACTACTGTGGTTTTTTTCAGTCACTTGACATCTGACCGACAGTAATCTGTTAATAGTAAATGATTTGTATTAGTTCTTCAGCAAGATTTTCATTGTTTTGAGTAAAGGAAGTGAAAGTGTTCTTCAATATGTTGAAATTTTGAATTTATAAATTTCCCCTAGAACTGCCTTATTCCTTCAGACACACACAACATCTTTGACTTAGAATGTCTGCCTTCAGATAATAATTTGTTTAATGATTTTTTTGTCTGTTTTTTTACTAGATACTTGGTATTAAAAATGTTACACTGTTCAGTGTCTGCAGTAAAGAATATTGACTTCTGTCAGCTTGTTAATTTAAAGATCAAGCTGCTTCCTTTGGGACTGAAATGGGTTGATCGTAGTGTTTACTTTGGGACTAGCTTAACCCTATTTCTCAACCATGACATTTCGGGGATCTACTGAAAACGTCAGTTGTTTATTCAGTTCGCTCTTCTCAGGCTAGTTGGAACTTTCAGATATATTCCAGCCTGTGTGAGCTCTAGGAAATTCTCTTGATTATAGCTCTCTAATGCATATCTCCCCCCCCGCCCCAATACATAACTTGAAGTATGCTTACTGTGGAGGTGATACTCAGTACCAAACCTCTGTGGTAAACTATATAATAAAACAAGTTTTATACCAGAGAACTTACTCTACAGCTGGAGCTCATGGGTTCAATTCCTGACCCCGCAGGGTCCTCTTGAGCATTGCCATGAGTGACCCCTAAGCACCCAGCTGGAATAGCCCCTGAACACTGCCAGGTGTGGCCTGAAACCAAAAACAAATCAGGTCACAATTATTTTTGCTCCCAAGGGCATATAAAAATTATGTTTATACTATACTGTGGCATAGTTTTTGTTTTGGGACGATACCTGGAGGTGCTCAGAACTTACACCTGGCTCTGTGTAAGTTCCCAAGGATCAGTCCTGGTGGGGCTTGGGGACCATATGGGGTGCTGGGGACCGAACCTGGGTCAACTGCCCTACCTGCTACACTGTCTCCCCAGCCCCCTATCCTGTGGCATATTAAGTGTGCAGTGGAATTATGTAAAATACATGTATGTGTGTATGTATGTTTATATACACTTAATTGTTGCCAACAGGGAGAACATATTGTTGGGAAAATGGGTAGTAGACTTGTATCTGTGAAGTACAATAAGGCATGTTCTTATTCTATGCCTGCTGTTGTGGTGTCTCATTCCATGTGGTGCACAACTTAGAATTCAGCCAGATGCGCGAGGGGGTCCCAGTGTGGGTTATTAGGCCTCTCTGCACACTCTCTCCCTCTCGTGCTCTGCAGGCACAAATCCTGCTCACTCTCCCTGAATGCTGGTCTGTGCTCAGCAGGGCTGTCGTGTTCTAGCTCCTTCACTGCAGCCCAGAAAATGCCTCTGAAGAAAGCCGGGGTAATGACTTGGATTCATCTGATTTGTTTCCCTTCTCTCAGGAATCAGTCTTGCCCTACTGGCAGGTAGATATTTGAAAACAGTTTGTCTATTTTGTCTAGTTTTTTCAGTTTTGTTGAAAGAGCTAGTATAACAGGTGTCAGCATGAGCAAAAGCAAACTCAGATATGTGTGTGTGTGTGTGTGTGTGTGTGTGTGTGTGTGGTGTGTCTGGTGCCAAGGATTGAAGGTAGGGCCTCACAAATGCAAGATGCATACTCCACTACTGAGCTACAGCTCTGATTCAGACAGCCAATTTTTAAAAATTAATTAAAAGAATTTTTTAAATTGAATCACCATGAGGTACAGTTACAAAGTTATTCACAGTTGATTTTCAGTCACCCAATGTTCCAACTTTCTTCCCTTCAGCAGTGCACATTTCCCACCACCAATGTCCACATTTTCCTCCCATCCCTCCCAGTCTGCTCCTACAAGCATTTCTTAACTCCTATTTATTTTTTTTCTGATGGCTTCTATAAAACAAAGGCACTAGTCTGAGGTTGTAGCTCATTGAAAGAATGAGCTGTTGGCCTTACGTATGTGAAGCCTTAGGCTCAATCCCAGCACTACTAAAAATGACAATAGTAATTTAACTTATAACTGGGGTTTGGGATCAGTTTGGTGATAAAAATTTTCCTTCTTAGATTGGTGTGTTTCCCAAAATCTTTGTGGCAAAGACCTTTCCTAAATGTTTGTTGAGGGTTTTCCTATTTTCACCAGCACTTTGAGTCACCTCAGTTCTCCTGTAAGCTTTTATTACTTAATTTTTGTCCAGGAGTTTATCTGATTGATAGGCATGAGTGGACAACTCTCCAGGAATTAATTGAGAAGTTTAAATCTAAAGACAAATGTTTCTTCTAGAATAGTTATTACCCTCTTCCTCTACTTCTCGAATTATCTCACTGCTCTGTTAGAGACCAGTGCTGGAGCGATAGCACAGCGGGTAGGGCGTTCGCCTTACACGCGGCCAACATGGCCGACCCGAGTTCGATTCCTCCGCCCCTCTCGGAGAGCCCGGCAAGCTACCGAGAGTATTCGATATGCCAGACACAGTAACAACAAAGTCTCCAATGGAGACGTTACTCAGTGATATAGATATCACAAAAAAGAATGAAAAGGATGTCTATCTGCTGATAAAATTGTCCCAGAGTTACATTGGCCTAATAACTTTAGAGTGAGAAATTAAGGACATAGCTGAATCTAAGGCACTCTGTGACCACTCATTATCTTCAGATAGATTTGGTGTTGTGTGATGTTGATTAACCTGTAATGGACTAGTTATTCCTTATGAAGAAAATGATTGTTTCTGTTCACATGACAGCATAATGGCTATTAAAATTTTTCACAAGTGGAGTCGTGAAAATTTTGATCTTACTGATAATTGACAAGTTTCTAGAACAAATTCCTAATAACTCAAAGAGATCGGTGGGTGCTACTCCTAAATGTATCCCTTCCTCACCCAGTCACTCTCAGGAGACATCCATTAATTGTATCAAGAATGTCTCTTTAAGGCTGCATGCTATTCTGTTTTAAGCATTTACCGTGCTTATTATCTAATTCCCTTCCTATGGGTACTATAAATTAATGTGCTGTTAGGAATAATGAGTACAGATGTGAAGCCAGTATTTCAGCTGTCATCAGTGTCTCTTTGTTTGTGAGCATGTTTCCCATTTTAAGGATTTTATGATTTGTCTAGAGTGAAAATCTTAGAGTAGATTTCAAGTTGATGAGCCCCAAAGGGACTCTTTAAAAAAAAAAAAGTTACCTGTGGTTTGTTTCCAAATACCAATTGGAAAATACCTAATACCAAATGAAAAATATGTCATGTTTTAATCATGATTAATAATCTCACTGTATACTTTTACTCTTTCAGGCCATAATGCAACAGGGAGATACATCTATAAAACCCATCCTCCAAGTCATTGTGAGTATCTGCCGATGTTTCGTGTTCAACCTTTTTTATTAGCTTACATTTAATTACAAATTGCATTTGGTGAAGGATATAGATTTGTCTCCTTTAGGAAATTCTCCTCGTTCACTAAAAATATTCAAGGAGTTGAAGGAGTCAGTAGAAGCAGAATCCTGACTCAGGCATACCTGTAGTTTTTGATCCAGAGGGCCAATGATTTACCTGTTCTCCTAGAGTCAACTGCCAGTCATCTTGAGGCTCTTTCCATATTTCACTTTTCAGAAATCTGTCTCTGATCTTCTTCCATTCGGGGTACATTTCACAGCTTTACCTCCACCTACCTCTGATGTCTACCTCAGCTGTAAGCTCCTTCAGGACAAGGATTTTTTTTCTTTTTTGATTACTTATTTTGGTTTTGGGACTGCACCCAGTGGTGCTCAGGACTTATTCCTGGCTCTCTGCTCATGGATCACTCCTGATGGGGCTTGGGGAACCATACAGGATGCTGGGGATCGACCCTGGGTCAGCCGTGTACAAGGCAAGTGCCCTACCCGTTGTACCATCTCCCCTCATATTTTTAGCATGATTCTTGCACAGTACCTTCCATATATTTGGTAACTTGTTATATGTTTTATTAGAGTTGATTTTCAGCACACTTTGGGTAGAGGAGAAAGAACACGTAAGTATTGGCAATTTATTTTATTTTTAATGTGTTATGTTTAATAATGTTAGTGGAGAGAGGCTAGTGGGAGAATCGTTAAATCCAATTTTCTTTTATTTGGATTTAGGTGTCAAGAGAATGGGCAAGTAATTCAGTTTAGGTTGAACTGCTGGCAAACCTACTCTCCTGCCATTATCTTTGCTTGTCTCTGGGGACAGGGCGGAACCTGGCTAACGAATCAAATTTTCTATTCTAGAACATTCGTCCTATTACTACAGGGAATAGTCCACCCCGTTATCGACTGCTTATGAGTGATGGAGTGAACACTTTGTCCTGTAAGTATAATCATGTATATCTGCAGGAATTCATATTAAATAATAAAAGCACACCCAACTCTTGATTGCAGTAATTTGAGGCATTTCAGAATTTCTGCATTTGCTTGGCTCTTCATTCAGACAGAATTGCAGTTGGCAGAGAACATGCTAACAGTAAACTGGATCTAGTGGAAAGCTGCCACTTGGCTTAATTAATTTTCTCTAACTGGTGCTCTATGCTTTCTTTGATTAATTTCCCTCAGGGTGATATTGACATTTAGTGAATATGATGGGTTTAGCTGTCCTATACTTATCTTTTTGAGGTTTTATTTCTTTGTCGGAAGCTTCACAAAAGGGAAAGGGGGTAATTTGCAGCTTGTATGCTTCCTATTTGTAGTCACAATGAGAAAGACCTAGCAAACATTTCTTAGTCTTTGTCATGAAACCTGAATGAAGGAAGAAATGATTTGGAGGACTTTAAGAATGAGTAACATTTCAGGGCTGCAGCAAATTTAGTGCACAGAAAATCAGGCTTTTTTTTTTAACCATGCAGAATGTGAGTAGTTTTAATTTCAGCAACACATTTAAGGCGGTTTTCTTTGTACAGATTCATCATCTTTTATATTGTTATGATTGAAATGTTTTAGAGACTGATCTAATTTCTGTGCTTTGCAGCTTTCATGTTGGCAACACAGTTGAACTCTCTTGTTGAGCAGGAACTATTGTCTAGCAACTGTATTTGCCAGATTAACCGATTCATTGTGAACACTCTAAAAGATGGAAGGTATGTCCTGTTTTTGTCTTTTTCTCTGCTGCATATTGTGTTATTGATTGGAGATTAATTTTTGAGCAGAGCGGTTCTCCGGATGTCAAAATCAAAAAAAAGGGCAGTGATGAGCCTCCAAGTGACTGAATATGGCATCACAGGGAGAGAAAGGTAGAGATAAGTTTCAGAGCAGTAGAATTGAAGCAGAGTGGAGAATGATGCTTTTTTTTTTTTTTTTGGTGAGTTTCTCTACTTATAAGGTGAAAGTTATCCCTGGCATCCCATCTGGTTCCCTGAGTCCCGCCAGAAGTGATTCCTGAGTGCAGAGCCAGAAGGGTGATGAGGAAAGTGCCAGAAACATGTACTCCGCCACTGAGTCACACCCTAAAGCATCATTTTTGAAATTTTGATTGAGGCATTGTGGTTTACAAAGTTATTCATGATTGAGTTCAGGCATACAATGTTCCAATCTCTTCGCCAGTGTTCACTTGGCCTCACCAATGGCATCTTCTTTATTTTGCTTTTCTTTTTTTTTTTTTCACTTATGGTTTTTTTGTGCCATACCTGGCAGTGCTCACAGCTCACTCCTCGCTCTGTGCTCAGTAATCACTCCTGGTAGGGGTGTTGAGGACCATGTGGGGTACCAGGGATTGAACTTGAGTTGGCCGCATGCAATCCAAGTAAGTGCCTTACCTGCTATTCTATCTCTGTTCTAGCCCTGTTTTAAAATTTTTATTGGCCAGCACTGGGGGCATTACTCCCCTGAGGAATCATGTGATGTTGGGGATCAGTCTTGGGCTTCTCACATGCAAAGCATCCCTGGCGACACATACGTTTCCCGCTCCTCCAAGCATCACCAGGAGTAATCCCTGAGCACTGCAGGAAGTGATTCCTCTCCCCTTTCCCTGACTCCCCCCGCCACCACCACCAAAAAAAAGAGCTACTAGCTGGGAATTTAGCTCGGTGGTAGAACACATGCTTCACATAGATGAGGCCCTGGGTCAATGCCCATCACCAGAAACAAAAGAAAAACTGAAAATAGAGACTTTTCAACTTAAAGCAGAAAAGATAGTTGATTAATGCTATGCTCGGGGGTTTTTCTTAGCTAAGTGCTCAGATTGTTTTTTGGTGACGTTGGGACTGTGCGGAGCCAGGGATGGAACCTGAATCTCCTGCATGCCAAGCATGAGCTCCAGCCTTTTGAATTACCTCTCCAGTCCCCAACTCGTTCATTTGTTTGAGGGCCACACCTGGCAGTGCTCTGGAGCTGCTTCTGTTTTGGTGCTCAGGGGTCGCTCCCAGAGTGCAGGGGGTTTGACTGTGAAGTGCCAGTAATGAAATCTTTGCCTGTCTCCCCAGCCCAGCTTACGATGATTTTAATTAAATTGTACTTTAAATCAACTTAAGCAGTAACCCCCACACATACACACTGCAAATGTCCCAAGATTTATACAGCCCAGAAAGAATTAAATCACCATTTAGTGATAGCTATTTCAGATAATCTCTGAATGCTGATTAATCAGTCACTAGTGAAAGGTAGAAATAATTGTTCTATTGTGATGATACATAAATTTTTTTTTCCCTCTCTCCTTTTAAGGGTCATTTGGTCCACAGCTGTTAGGTGGAGCTGAGCAAACTAGAGGTCTGCAGGGGAGAGGAGGGCTGTGACCTTGATCCAGGTGTCAGAGCTGGGTTCTGGTATGGGTTGATGTGGGGTGGTATCTTGTGAGTGGGTGCAGAGAACTTGTGTGGGAGAAGGTGGATGAGGCTCTTGGATACTGGGCGAGCGAGGAGGACATCCCGGGGGCAGGGGTGGCAGTCGGGACACACTGCTGGAGACTGAATGGGCTGAGGAAGGAATTCAGGAGCATCAGGGAGGTATCTGCTGGGAGTAGGGAAACCTGATGTGGGATGAATCAGAACCAGTGTTGGGGGAGGAGGCTGCTGTTTATAGTGGGTCACAGTGGCCTTGAAGTAGACCAGAACGTTGTAAGGTGGGTGGGTATCCATGCATGCGACCTTGGGAGTTGCAGTATGTTGATTATATGTGGAGGGAAATTGGCCCATACATTTATTGGGGACAGTTAGAATTGGCTAAGGGAGAAATTTATAATGTTGCATCAGAATAAACTCAAGACTTTAGATAGATTAAGAGGTAGATGGCTGATGGATATGATTATTTGCAACCTAGAAGCTTTTTTGTGTATGTGTGTGGTGTTGGGGATCGAACCCAAGGTCTCACACATGCAAGGCAAGAACTCTGCCACTGAGCTATATCCCAGCTGCTTAGCACTTACTTGGTTTCTGAGTGTTAAACACTCTCTCACACACACACACACACACACACACACATGCGCGCGCGCACACACACACAGCGTTATGAGTTTGGAAACCCCCAGAATTTCATAAAACTGGAAGCCAGTGGTAAGTCAATGAAAAATCAAAAGAAAATTTCTGTTGTTTAAGCACTATACACAGTAACTTTTTTCTGTTCCTTGGTGTTATATCTAAACAATATAATATAATGATAATACCTTTGTTCACATTTTTCCCCTTAACAAAAGCTACCTTTTTTTAAAAAGAAAAAATTATTTATTTTTTTTTTGCTTTTTGGGTCACACTCGGCAATTCTCAGGAGTTACTCCTGGCTCTGCGCTCACGAATTACTTCCAATGCTGCTCATATGGGATGCCAGGATTGAGCCTATGTCAGCTGCGTGCAAGGCACACACAAATGCTGTCCCATTGCTCCAGCCCTCTACCTTTTCTTTCTTAGTCCCTTGTTTCACGTCATCTATGGCTTTTTTTTTTTAATCTTGGTCTTTTCAAACAACTGTTAGGAAACCCTTTCCTCAAGACTGGATTCTCACAGTGTCTCCACTTCCATCCCTTTCACTTTCACCCACTCACGATTGCTGGCCTTGCTTTCTGTCTTGCTCCTGGTTAATGCGGACAGCTCTCCAGACTTCATATTCATTCCGACTAGTGCACACCGGGTATAGAGCCTTGCCGACCTGCTCACATGGGACCAGTTGTTACCTTCTGTTCCAGGCTGTCTTTGACTGCTTAAATGATGTTTTCTGTCCATTTTTCTGTCTTTCAGGGAACAGTTAATGGGAGAGGGTGGATAGCTTTGCTGTGGTTAAGAAATTTGGGCTTCATAGGGGCTAGAGTGATAGTACCACAGTAGGGTACTCACCTTGCATGTGACTGACCCAAGTTTGATCCCTGGCATCACATATGAGCACTGCTAGGAGTGATTTCTGAGCATAGAGCCAGAAGTAAGCCCTGAGCCCAGCCAAGGTGTGGCCCAAAAACCAAAATGTGGGCTTCAAGCTCTCTAAACAGGGATAGAGTCCCACTCCTCAGGCTTTGCCTGTTCCCCCTCATGGTGGTCTCCCTTAGATTCTTTCTTTCCCTGCCCAGAACATGTGGACTGATGCCTAAGAATATTTTCTTTTTACACAAAAGTGATTTTTGATAGCTGTGCAAGGTTAGTCCAACCAGGGCTTTAAGCAGTTATCTTTATACATTGCTTTATGTACTTATGCTGTTTTCTTCTGAAAAGTTGGCTGCCAGGATTAGTGTTACGAGGTCAAAGATCATATGATTGGCAGGTTTTCTGGTTGACATACTTAGGAGCATTATGTAAGGGTGCCTCTTTCAGGGGCCGGAGCGATAGTTCAGCAGGTAGGGCGCCTGCCTGGCACGGGTTCAATCCCTGGCACCCCATTTTGGTTCCTTAAGCATGACCAGGAGTGATTCCTGAGTGCAGAGCCAGGAGTAAGCCCTGAACATTATCAGGTATGACCCCGAAACAAAAACAAAAAAAGAAGAGGAGTACCTCTTTTAGGGCTTTGCACTTATCACCCATCCCATCACTCCTGGGTGTAGCGCCTGAGTACTACTGGGTGAGTCCCAGAGTCCTCTGAGCACTGCGGATGTGGTCCTTGTGGTCACTGATGCTGCAGGGCCTAAACTCCTGGCACATTCCTTAAGTACCACTTGGGAGGCCTCCAACCCGTCGTAACAAAGCGCCTGTTTCTAAATAGGAAAACCCATATGAACAGAAATGGGTCGGGGGATAGAGGGTGATCACCATTGGGAATAGGACTCTTGGGTTTCAGGTGACAGAAATGATCTGAAGTTGGATGATAGTGGTGTGATGATGCTTTTACTAATCACACACATATACACACACGCGCGAGCCTGTGCCCCTCCATCAGAGGCAAGTGTTCTACCACTGAATCATGGAATTAATATATTTAAAGGATGGTTTTCATGGTATGTAAATGCTATTTATATGTAGCTGTTACTTAAAAAGGCTATGTTTCCCCTTAACCTTGACAACACTCCGGCTATTACTATTTTTAGAAAAGATTACTGTTTATTTTGAAGACTTAATATAGTCTGTTTAGGGTGTCTCAAGATCAGTGTGAAAGTCGGTTTTTTTTCTAATGTAGTCAGTTCTCCATTTTTCCTTTTATGGCTTCTGAATGTAGAATCTTGCTTAGGAAGTTTACTGACCCAGATTTTTTTAATATATTTTCAATTACTTGTGAAGATTATTCAAGTCAACTGTAGTGGGGTTGGGGAGATAGTACAGGGCTTAAGGCACATACCTGTGTGCATCCAACTCAGATTTGATCCTCAGTACTACTGTTCCCTCCTGAGCATTGTAGATACAGCCATGGCTCCTGAGCACCTGGTGGTGGCTTTTGTGGTCCATGGCACTACTGGGGGCCTCCAGGGTTGTGCCCAGTGGAGCGTGAGGAGCCATGCAGTGCTGGAGATCAGACTCTGGCTCTGCAGATGTAAGGCATGCATTGTAGCCCCCTGAGATAATCTGTGGTTTACTTGGTTTTGGTTTGTATTTGGGCCACATCTGGCGATGCCCAGAGTCATGCCCAATACTCCTGACTCTGCACTCCTGGCCATGCTCAGGGGACCATATGGGATGCTGGGGATTGAACCCTGGTAGGCCACGTGCAAGGCAAGAACCTTACCTGCTGTACTATT